GGTCATTGGTGTGCATGGGAGAAATATTGGCGCCTTCATGGTCGGAAGAGGGAGGAGAGTCGTTGCCTACAGCAGGGTCCGCAGGGGGCGAAGGGGCCTTCCGAATCGTGCCGTCGGCGTTCCTTGGTAGCTTGCGCTTACCCTTTGGGCGACCCATGTGCCCGGAGCGCGTGTACGTCTTTCGTTACGTGCGTAAAGGAGGTGTGTGTGTCCTCTGGTGTGTGAAACCACCCGAAATATCTCCGAAACCCGAGTTTTTTTTTGAAATCGGAATAAAATCATCGGTGGGAAATCACGAGAGGAATCGATTGCAGCACTTCATTTTTGAATCGTGCGGTTGGATCGTCCCCAAGAAACTAAGCAAAATACCCTCCAATATCCGTTTTTTTGCCCATAACTCCGTTATTTTTTGTCAAATTGGAAGTCGGAAAAAAATCATCGGTGGCAAATCACGAGAGCTGTCCAAATCCGGTCTCAGATTTTTTTGTGTCTGCAAAGAACACCGCCCTCCAGAAAGTAAGCAAGATTTCTTGAATATCTGAACATATCGAGCGAAGGACGAAAAAAAAATATATATATATATATATCTCCGTACGAAGATGCGCCTTGAAACGTCGATTTACGCGGTATTTTCAGATTTCGGAATAAGTACCCCCACCCCGAGAAAAGTGCACCTTTGTGCAGGGGAAAATATTGTGAATTTTTCCGGAAACGGACCATATCTACAATTGTTGCGTCCACCCGCGAACTGGGAGCCCTTTTTTGTTTCGTGTCTTGGCGCCGCGTTGTTCATTGTACACCGCTAGTTCTATGTTCAGAATGGAACACCTGTTCGTATCTCCAAAGTCGCAAGTGGGTGGCGCCTATTCGATAAAGTTACATTTCGATAGAGGTACACCATAAGGCGTCAGCGCTGACTAGTCTAGTCTAGTCTTCTAATGGTGTAACTTTATCGAATAGCATCTTGTGTAACACTTAACGATTGGCCATCGGTGTTCGGCCTTGTGGGAACTGTTCAAGAATGCTCCGTCCTCTCGAGGACGAGTGGTCAATGGTCTAACCGCCACGGCATGCAAAACATAAGAGTACGCCCCCCCACCCCCCACCCCCAATCCCCCACCCGGGTGTTTGCCATCATCGGGGTTGGGTTTCCGTCGCTTGGCAACGTTGTGAAACAAGCCGGTCAATTCGTGAGCTCGGCAACCAGGTTACCGCATAGTCTATTTCTTTTGCCTCTGTTTTTTCTTTTCGATAACCAAAATGGTGGTCGACTAGATTCTGTTGTGCGGGGTCGAGAACCCTCACTCCCCGCAAAGGGGATGATCGCACCACGTTGTCATTAATTGGTCAAGCACCCTAGAGGCAACTACACTGTGCTTACAACTGTCTCTGGGAGTTAAAGCACCAGAATTAAATTAAGTCATACGCAGCTGTCATCGGCACGTACGTGTGAAGGATATGCACGCCAAGTGTCCTGCAGACGACGCCAAGTGTAAAGGATATGCACGCGCGGTGCAATCTGGGAGACCCGTGAAGACGAACTCACTTGTTATCAACTCGTGTAGAACAGCAGTAACTGTTGCCAAGGGAAGGTAGAGGACTGACTAGGATGGGGCCAGGATCAGCTGCTAAAGCAGGGGCTACTAAATCCTGTCCCCTGTTTTGTCCTTCCGTGGGGAGTTGCATCTCCCGCACTTTTCTCTGGGCGTTAGCCCGCACTACCGTTTGTTCTTTCCTACACATTCGAATCCCATATGGTCCGTTTCCGGAAAAATTCACAATATTTTCCCGTGCACAAAGGTGCACTTTTCTCGGGGTGGGGGTACTTCTTCCGAAATTTGAAAATACCGCGTAAATATGTTCAGATATTCAAGAAATCTTGCTTACTTTCTGGAGGGCGGTGTTTTTTGCAGACACAAAATCTGAGACCGGATTTGGACGGCTCTCGTGATTTGCCACCGATGATTTTTTTCCGACTTCCAATTTGACAAAAAATAACGGAGTTATGGGCAAAAAAACGGATATTGGAGGGTATTTTGCTTAGTTTCTTGGGGACAATCCAACCGTACGATTCAAAAATGAAGTGCTGCAATCGATTCCTCTCGTCATTTCCCACCGATGATTATATTCCGATTTCAAAAAAAAACTCGGGTTTCGGAGATATTTCGGGTGGTTTCACACGCCCTCGGGGATTTTTTTCCCGCCACACACACACCAGAGGACACACA